AAAAATGTGTATTCAGGTGCTTTTGGATGGAATGCCTGTATATATCTGTTAAGTCTATCTGGTATAATCTGTTGTTTAAGGCCAATGTTTTTTTTTATTGATTTTCTCTCTGACAGTCTATCCATTGATGTGAATGGGGTATGAAAGTCACCTACTCTTACTATATTGCTACCTATTTCTCCCATTAGACCTGTTAATATTTGTCTTATATATTTAGGTTCTCCTATGTTGGGTGTACGTATATTTACAAATGTTTATTGTCTTGGTGGATTGACCCCTTTATCATTATGTAATGCTCTTTTTGTCTTTTATTGCAATCTTTATTTTAAAGTCTGTTTTGTCTGATGTAAGTCTAGCTACCCCAACTTTCTTTTTGGTTTCCATTTGCATGGAATATCTTTATGGGAAAAGACAGACTCTTCACGTGCAGTCTGTGTGTGCCTTTAGGACTAAAGTGAATCTCTCATAGGCAGCGTATAGATGGGTCTTGTTTTTTCATCCACTCATCCATTCTGTCTTTTGAGCATAGAATTTAATCCATTTACATTTAATTATTGATAGATTTGTACTTATTGCCATTTTGTTAATAGGTTTTTGGCTGTTTTTAATTCCTCTGTTACTTTCTTTTTCTTTTGCTCTCTTTATGGTTTGATGGCTTGCTTTATTGGTATTCTTAGTTTAATTTCTTATGTTTTGTGTATGTACTCTAGGTTTTTGCTTAATGGTTACAATGAAACTTACATAAAATCACCTATATTTATAAAAGTCTAAGTTGATAGCAACTTAATTTTGAATATATTCTTAAACTATATTTATACTCCCCCCACCGCTCACTTAAAAAAAAGTCAGATGCTTCGCAAACTTGCATGTCGTTATCCTTTTGCAGGGGCCATGCTAATAATCATCTCTGTGTTATTCTAATTTTAGAATATGTACTGCTGAATTGAGCACTGAGAAGTTTCTCTTGATCTGTCTTCAAGTTCACTGTTTCCTCAGTCATTTTGTGTCTACTGATGAGTCCACTGAAGGCATTCTTTTTTCTTTTTTGGAGTTCGATCAGCACTTAGCAATTTTAATTAAAAAAAATCTCAGAATAATTTCAAACTCACAGAAAAGTTGCAAATATAGTACAAAAAACCTCCCATGTTGCCTTAGATTCACCAACTTTTTTTGAATATGAATGTGATTTCTTTAATCAAATGATAAAATATTAAATAAATCTTTAGCACAGAAATACTAAAAATCTTTGTAATCCTGCAAACACAGTGAATCAGTAAGTTGTTTTTCAAGCCTTCAAGTTTAGTGGAATTGACCTGTCATTCAAGCTAAAGCACATCTTTGGCTTCCCAACATTGCCAAAGCTTTAGAAAGATTCACCAACTTTTAATATCTGTCTCTGTCTCTCTCTTACAGACACACACACAATTAATTAGTCTTTTCTGAACGATTTGACTTCAAGCTTCAGGCCTAATCTTACATCACCCTAAATACTCCATTGTGTATTTCCCTAAACAAGGACCTCCCAAGAAGTCAGGGAGTCAACATGATAAAACACTAGCATTCAAAGAACCTATTCATATTTCAGTTTTGCCAAATGTCCCCAAAATACCGTTTTTAGTTTTCAGGCCCAGGATTCCTTCATACATTACATTTAGTTGTCATGTCTCTTTGGCCTCCTCCAATCTGGAACAGTTCCTCGGTCATTCTGCCTATCATGTCCTTGAGAGCTGAAAAGAATACAGGCCTTATATTCTGTAGGCTGGTTCTCAACTTCATTCCATTGGATGTTTGCTTGTGCCCAGACTCAGGCACGCATTCCTGACAAACTTTGATTTTCTCATTATGTCAGTTTGTCCCATCTCTAGTGATATTAATCTTGATTATCTAGTCAAGTTGATGTCCTCACTGTAAAATTATTTTTCTTTTTAACTGTTGGGAAATGTTCCAATATTGTTTTGAAATCCTGTTCCTTACTGAAACTTCACCCATTCTTAGCCTCCATTGACAGCTTTCGTCTGAACGACTTTCAGGTTGGTAATTGATTTTCTATTTATATTACTCCTTTTACATTTTTTGGTCGGCATTAAACTGCAAAGGATGAACTTTTCTTTCTCCCTACTGATTTATATATCATGGTGAGGTCACGGATTCCTATTTTATTCAATAGGTAGTAATCTGTTACTGTAAATACTTTCGTACTCAGTTTGTCCCCAGTTTGGCCAGTGGGAGCCTCTTTGAGCCAGTTTCTTTATCCTTTTAACACGGCCCTATCAGTTCTTGAGCACTTCCTTAATTTCCAGCATGAGATATTCTAAGCTCATTTTTGTAGTTTTCTTGCTCCAACTGTAAAATCTTTCGTTTCTTCAGAGAGTCTTCGTTCCTCTTTTTTCCCATATAAATATTTTTTGAAAAATTTGAACTTTACTTATTTTTATTGAAGTATAATTGATTTACAGTATTGCTGGCTTTTTCAGGTGTACAGCAAAGTGATTTAGTTATACATATATATGTATATATCTGTATTCTTTTTTTATCCTTTTCCATTACAGTTTATTACAGGATATTGAATATAGTTCCCTGTGCTATACAGTAAATTCTTGTTGTTTATTTTATTTTATTTTAGGGCGAGTGGGTAATTAGGCTTTTATTTATTTATTTCTTAATGGCGGTACTGGGGACTGAACCCAGGACCTCATGCATGCTTAGCACTCACTGTGCCGCTGAGCTATACCATCCCCTCATTATTTATTTTATATATGGTAGTGTGCATCTGTTAATCCCATACTCCCAATTAATCCCTCCCCCCATTCCTCTTTGGTAACCATAAGTTTGTTTTATATGTCTGTAAGTCTGTTTCTGTTTTGTAAATAAGTTCTTTTGTATTATTTTTTAGATACCACATATGAATGATATAATATTTGTCTTTCTCTGTCTGACTTAACCTCACCTAGTATGGTAACCTCTAGGTCCATTCATGTTGCTGCAAATGGCATTCCTTTATTCTTTTCAATGGCTGAATAATATTCTAGTGTGTATGTGTGTGTGTGTGTGTGTGTGTGTGTGTATACACATCACATCTTTATCCATTCATCTGTTGATGGACACTTAGGTTGCTTCCATGTCGTGGACTATTGTAAACACTGAGGTCCATGTATTTTTTTGAATTAGAGTTTTCATTTTTTCCAGATATGTACTCATAAGTGGGACTGATGGATCATATGGTAGCTCTATTTTTAGTTTTTTAAGGAACCTTCATACTGTTTCCCATAGTGGCTGCACCAATTTATACTCCCACCAATAGTGTAGGAGGGTTCCCATTTCTCCACACCCTCTCCAGCATCTGTTATTAGACTTTTTGATGAATGGACCGTCTGTCCAGTGTAAGATGATACCTCATTGTAGTTTTGATTTGCATTTCTTTGATAATTAGCAATATTGAGCATCTTTTCTTGTGCTTGTTGGCCATCTGTATGTCTTCTTTGGAGAAATGTCTATTTAGGTTTGTCGTAGTTATTTTAAACTCATTGCACAAACTTTTATGTACCCTTTCAAATGTAAGTTACTGTGTTAGGCTATGAAGAAGCCATGTAAGTGGTCCCTGCCATAAGTGATTCACAGTCCTAGGGGGAAAGACAAATTTAAAAATGCTATTGCAAAATGATAAATGCCACGTGTTGGGTGAGCTCATGAGATACAGGAGTAAGACAGATAGAAATAGAGGGATGTCCCAATCAAGGGATAAAGTAGTGCTGAATGTGACTTATTTAAAGACAAGAAAAGCCTTGGTCAAGTGAAAGATGGAGCTTATCACTAATCAGGAAATGATTTACTTGTAGAGGGAAATGATAATGCAGTAACTTGAAAGAGAGTGAATGCACTATGGTTTTAAAGAAGGGCATGTAGCTATAAATGGTCATCCCCAATCATGTGATTTAAACGTATTGTCAAATGGGATGTTAGGATCTGGAATCCAGGGACATGTGGGAATAGTGGAGAGAAGATTAGGGAAAAGTTGGGGTGGTAGTGGAGAGAAAATACTCATTTATCCACCATGGAGCCATTTCGCCAGTGTGTAAGCTAGCTCAAGCTATGTGGAGGATTGCTTTTGGGAAATGCAGCCAGCGGTAGGGCTCTCAGTAATTTTGAGGTTTTTAGCAAAATTTGGAATCAAGCAAACAGGGATGATGGTGGTGGTGGTGGTGATGGTGATGATGATGATAATGATAATGATACAGATGCCCAAGTTGTTACATGTATTTTAAGGGTATCAGAGCTCATTTCAGAAAGTATGCATAATAGTTCAGAAACTGAACAAATGGATATCCGTCAGTAACTTCAAAGCAAAGAAGGGGAGAGGTGGAGAGGGAAGGGGGCGGTGAAAAGAGTGAAGGGGCTCAAAAAGTACAAACTTCAAGTTATGAAATTAAAAGTCATGGGGATGCAACGTATAGCATGGTGACTATAGTTAATGATAGACTATTGACTATTTGAAAGTTGCTGAGAGAGTTAGGTTTTTTTTCTTACCACTGTCAATATCTCATACACATCACTCACACATTTTTCTCCTTACGTCTTCCTCAGAATATAATTATGTCACCATTTGAGTTAAATTCCCATTTAGTTTATACTTAAATATTCCTTTTTAAATGTCTCAGTACACTAAAATACCCTAGGTGTGTTGTCAGTTCCATAATCTTCTTTGTGATTGGCTTTCATGAAGCTTCTTCATGTGAACTGCTTCTTCTCTGATACAGAGCTATTAATAAATTCATGGGGCATCCCCTTCATATGTACTCCCCTTCCTATCCACCGTATGCCTGAGCTCCACATAATGATAGTAGTCATCTCTATACCTGTCAGCATCTCTGGGGAATGTATATTCTTGGCCTTTCTGATCCAAGCATCATTTTGCTATAGAGTGACTGTTAGTCTACCTTGTGGTACAGGTTTCTGAAACCACAAAGCAAGACTTGTCTAATGGCTTTTATTCTCCTCTCCAGCTCTGCCTTCTCAGGCCCAGTCCATTCCCAGAAAGAAGAGGAAATGACTGACTCCCAGGTAAGTTTTAATGAACGTTATTTGTTCCCTTCCTTATTTTCAGTGCACTTTAAGGGTATTGCGGTAATCCATATGGTAAACTGGAAAATCCTATACAGATAAAACATAGTTTCAGAGGAAATAAATTTGGAAGATTAAGACCAAGAAAGAGTTAAAATATGATTATGCATTCATTCAGAGAGATTAAAGTTGGGCTTCAATTTTGAATTTTGTTGTTATAGGTAAAGCAGATGCATAATTTGCATTGTACATAAGGATAAAATGAAGACTTATTAGCAGAAGTAAGTTTTACATTGGCACCTAGGTCAGTGAATACATTATAGTGTGACTTCCTGTAGTTGATAAACTCAGCTTTTCTGATGGACTGCTTTGATCAAGAACAAAGCAAAGATTATATGTCAAAATAGCTCAGCATTGGAAAGAACGCAAATGAACATCAGTGAGAAAAAAAAAGGTAAGTTATACTATTTCACGCACTGGGATACTACCCACCTCACCACCCACCCCCCACACACGCAAAGCAGATTGCTGCTGCTTAAACAGCATAGTTACATTCACAAACGTGAAGTGAGAGAAGCCAGATACAAGAGTACATTCTGTATGGTTCCATTTATATAAAATTGAAAACTGGGAAAACTGATCTCTGTGAGAGAGAATAGTGGTTACCCCTGAGGAGGTATTTACTGGGAAGGGACATGATGGAGTCTCCTAGTGTGCTGAAAATCTTCTGTATTTTGACCTAAGTGGTGGGTAAACAAATACATAAATGTATAAAAATGTCTCATTTGTACACTCAAAATGAGTGCATTTTACTACATTCTATGCATGTCATACCTCCTTTTTAAAAAAGCCCTAGAATATCTGAAGAAATAGGTGGAATATGTCTTTCAGGTGACCCTATATAATTATTTTCTTCCATGTGCATTTGCTATAGATTTGGCCACAGTCTAATCATTTCTGGTAAATTCTTATAATTTTAGCCCACTAGAATGTGAACAGAGTGTATCTTTTATTTGGTTTGCTGCTGTATCTCCAACCCCTAGAGCATTGGCTTGGTATATGTAGTTTTTGTGAATATTTGTGGTTTTAATGAATTGAATCCATTGTTCCTTACCTCTTTATTTTATTCTCAGAATAAGTAAAATCTGCCTTATCTTCAAGGATATTTCCTTTTCCTCAGAACCTCATCCTTTTTCTTCAAACTTCCTTTGGAATCTTTCTCTTTCAGTTTTGTCTGGCTCTCTTAGCTGCTAAACAGATCTCACTTTACTGCCTTTTCACTCTTAGCTCAAAGCTTTGCTATACTGAGATAGATAATGTATTTCTTTGACCAAGTGCCCCTATCTAATATCTCTGTATCTCTAGTATTTTCCTCAAACTGAGTTAGTTTTCAAAGTTAACACACCTGTGTAACTAGCAGAAGCACTGGATCAAGAAATAGAGCTTTACCCTAACACCAATTAAACTCCTCCTACACCTTTCCAAGTCATTATCCCCATGCCAGGGGTAACCACTGTTCAGTTTATATTACCATAGATCATTTCTGTCTGTGTTTTAACTTTATGTGATCTATGTACTTTGTGTCTGGCTTCTTTTGCTTAATATTTTGTCAGATTCATGTCGAATTGTTGTATGTAGCTACAGTTTAGTTAATCTCATTACTTTATATCATTCAATTATGTGAATAAACCATAATTTTAGGTATCCATTCTATTACTGATTAGCATTTAGGTAGTTTTTATTTGAAGATAATTAAAATATTGTTCCTATGAACTTTCTTACAGATTTTTGTTGCACATATGTGCACATTTCTTTCTACCAAAGTAGAATTGCTGAATCATAAGTTATGCTTTTATGGATAAGTCAGAAGTTACCTTTTATGATACTGCCAAATAGTTTTCCAAAGTGGTTGTCCAAAATTATACTCTTAACAGTATATTAGCATTCTGAGTTACTCCAGGACAGCCATCTTGAATGTATTTTCTACAGTTACTAAAGCTTGGGTTTTTTTTGGCATAATATCAAACTCATAGGCAATAAAAGGGAAGCTTAACTAAATATGAGTACATAAAAATTACATTCTCCTTTTTTGATACAATCATCATATAAATTGGCAAAACTTGACAACAGTTTCAGTAACAGTTATGGCGGTCCCAATCTGGTATTTAAATACATATTTATAAACCAAATTATAATCCAGTGGAAAACTGCATATAGGACATGAAAAAGAAATCCACAGTTGGAAAAATCAAAAAGAAGAAATACTCAATAAAAATCGCAAATAATAGTAAAACTAATTTCTATTGTTTGATCAAAGTTTTACATGAATTACCCTATGTAGTTTCCATAAGGAGTATATTTTCTTTTTTTTCCCACGAGTTAGGAAATTAGCACAGAAAAATTAAGGTTATAGGTAAAGGTGTAGTAGAATCAGGATTTAGTCCCAGGTGGTGTAACTGTGAAGCCTGTAACCTTAACCACCATCCTGTGTGGTCTTAGCCTCCCTCATTATTAATGAAATGCAAATAAAATGATTTTTAAAACATAATCATCAGATTAGTCCCATTTTTAAAAAGTTCATTATATCTCAGAACTGATCACTTGTCAACATTTCCAAGGATCTTGTTGTAACCTAGGCCATATCATCTTTTACCTGGAAGAACTTCAGTAACTGTTTGTTAATCTCTCTGAATACATTCTTGACCATCTATACTATAGTCCATTCTCCAGAGAACAACCAAAGTGAAGATTTTAAAATGTGAGGCATTAACTTCTCCACTTAAAATCGCCTAATGGCTTCCCATTACACTTGGAATAAAATTCAGATTTCTTACTGTCCTTTACAGAACCCTTCATGGTATGCCTTCTGCCTGTGTCTTTATCATTATCTTGTGCTACACCCTCCCTCATTCACTGTCTTTCAGCTTTTTCCACACTTGCAATGGAGTTTATCCCTTCCTTGGAGGCTTTTGAACATGCTATTAAAACTAGGAGAAAAGACTAAAGTTCCGACTCAGTTCCCTCTCACTCAGCCCTTCTGTTCTATTCAAATTTTAGGGAGGACAGTTTGCTTTACTCAGCTTACTGATTCAGATATCAATGTCATGTAGAAGTACCCTCACATAGTGTTCAGCCAAATGTCTGGGCAACTTGTGAGCCAGTCAAGTTGACACATAAGAGTAACCATTGCACTATCTTATTTTATCTTACATATTCACTTGTTTATGTTTTCATTTATTTCCCCCAACTAGTATATACATCCCAAGAGGACCAGAACTTTTATCGTTCTTACTGCTACATCCTTAGGCTCTAAACCAGTGCTGTGCACATTTCAGTAACTTATTGGCTAAAAAACCCATAACTCCAGGGCTCAATTAAGAATTATTTTCTCATTCTCTTCAGTGGCAGTTAATATTCATAATGAAAACTTCAACGACTATTAGACCCTCAAATTAGTCTTTGAGCTATCAAAAAAAGTTTCGATTAATTAATTCTCTTGTCCTATTGCTTTAACAAGTAGTGGAAATAGAAGAGTTGGGATTTAGGAGGTATTGCTAAGACTGAATCAAATGAACTTATTGATACATTGTACCTAGGTGTTGGAGAAGAAGTAGGAATGAAAACTTATTATTACAGTTCTATTTTTGGAAAAAAGTGGTTAGTGTTGCCATTAACCAGGATAGAAAAAGTTAATAGCAAAAATTCCTGAATATTATGTTATTACACATAAATCTAATATGGAATAGGTAATGTTACCTGAAATAGTTAACTACCAGTTGCAAACTATTAACTGGATTCTAGGTAGTATATGATAATTAGAAAAGCAAAATTTTCTGTTAGAGAAGATACAGTTTTTCAGTCTATCAAAACATCCAAGATTCATTAAAGTTTAAATTTGTTAAAAGTTTTTTAAAAAGGGAAAAGGCTATTCATTAATATCAGGTAAGATAAAATTCAAGACTGTAAGCTTTAAACAAAGAACAGTGCTTTAAAATGAAGAGTGCAGTAGATAATAGAGATAAATGGTTAAGACTACTTCTATACCAAATAAACTGCAGAAAATTTACTGTAATACTGTGAAAAATAAGAAGAAACGTATCAATAGGAAACTTTAATTGATCTGTGTTAGCTCATGATAGACACATAAGGTAGACAACAAAATAAACATAACTACCAATAACAATTTGACAGAGCTAATTGATTGTCATGTTATAGCCTGGAAACAATATCCCTTTTTTAGATGTGGAAAAACTAAAAGACTGACCATATATTAGGACTGAATGAAAGTAAATTTCAAAAGTACAAATTGTGCATGTTCCACAATGCAATTAAATAGGAAGTTAATAATAAAAATTCAAAAAGAAGACAGTCCCACATGGAAATTTTAAAACTAGCATAAGCAATTCAGATCAAGAGAGATTAAAAATTTACATTACAGAACATCTAAGAAAGTAATGCACAGAAGAAAACCTACAGGCTGAATAATAATGTTAATAAATATAAATAAAATGAACAAAATACAGAGCTGTAGAAATTAGAAATAACATGAGAAAATAGAAGAAGGAATTGGTAAGAATAAAATTGAAGTCAGTGGGTTCACAAAATTGAACCAGTAAAGAACTGCTTTTTCTTCCATCTTTCTCTGTCTTCTCTCATCCTTTTATTATTTTAAAATCTAAGAACAGAGAGGGAATAGAATAAACAACCACATACCCAGTACCTGGAATTAGCATATTTTAATATTTTGTCATTTTTGCTTTGAGATTGTTTTTCAATAAATAATTAGATTACAGATACTCTGTCCCCAGAGGCAATCACTCCCATGAATGTTATGTATATCAATAGAGTCCATGGTTTTATATTTTTACCACAGCAATTTGTGTATATACATATTATATAATGTTGCTCTGTGTTTTAGATTTCTAAGTAACTGGAAACATAATGGACTGACAGTTCTGCAACTCACTTTTCTTTACTCCATATTGTTTTCAAGACATATT